TTCCTAAGTGAGAGAATTAAGACAAATTCTCCCTAAGCAGGAGACGCCCATGTCCATCAGTGGAGTTTTACGAGGTGATGAAGAAGAAAATAATTATTTTGGCTTAAAATTTTTTGTAAAACAGTAATTTTTAAAAAACTAACTGCGTTAAAAATTATACTAAAAAGAAAAAAAATATTACCTATTTCGTATGTCACTTCCACAACGATGACAACTCTTACGAAGCCCACCTAACCAACTAAATGTATAAAAATCCATCAAGCAGTTTAGGCTACAGAGCGTGCTAAAGAAATGTGTAGGTACATAGTCTAGAAAAAAATTACCCTCATTCTGGGACAGTCGAGTAAAAAGAAGATATATGTTTTTTGAATTTTCAAAGCAGGCTATTTTAAATGACAATTATACTTAATTATTAAGAAATAATACTATTAAAAGGTAGTGATGTTAATATTTTAGTTATGTAATTTTATTAATCTTAAAAAAAACTATACTTTTTAAAAATAGTCATAACGTACCGCGTGAAAAAGACCAACAAGCCAAACTCTTCCAAGTAGGTATAGTTGCCGGCGTCTAACTTGGCAAGATTCGTTATGCCGGGTTTCCACGCTTGCCAAGTATCGGCAAGCATCCACAAGCACAAGTGTGTAAAGAGGGCGTTTGGCTTGGCTTGCGTGAGCTTGTGGACGCTTGTCGCCGATCCGAGCTAGTGTCGGTTTTTGGACACAGATCAAAGGGCGCTTGCGGCAAGCGCTTGCAACGCATTCACACGTTGGCGTTGGTGCGCGTTTAGTAGAAATTGTGATTTCGCGATGAGCGCATGTTTAAGGTACGTTGGGGTAAGATCGGTGATGGGGCAAGACCGTAGGATTCAAATTCCCGGCGAATTATGCTATATTTTGAAAAGCTAACAATATGCTACACGACGCCATTTCATCCTGCCCCGACCCTCAGTTCGCGCGCGCGCCAGTCACTCCGGCAAGTGGGACCTGTGCTGCGCGGCATTTTATAAAACAATGTAATTTTTGTATTATTTTTGTCCATCCGATCTTTCCCTATCACTTTTATTTACGATTTTTAGCGAGAATATGGCTTCTTTTGTTATTATTTTGTGTGGATACTAATTTTTATGAAGTTATAGTTAAATAAAGCTGGTCCATGCAGGGCTAAGATCGCTGTAGGCCGAGATCCGATGTTTCCCCTCGTGAGTGAAGATTCGTTGATTACTCAAGTGACTATGGGACTCAGTCTCGTTAGCAAGTCTGTATATTTAAAAGTAATAAAACAATACGATGGTTTTATTACTTTTAAGTACACATTAAAATACATTTTTTTATAGGATATGGGTGACAAAGGAGCACACAGTCCACCTGATGTTAAGTGATTGCTGCGGCCCATAGACATCTATATCTATCCTCTATTATAAATCAAAATGTAATTTATAATAATTATTTAAAAAATAATTTATAATAATAAATGCCGCTTTGTTAAAATATTTATATCTTCCTTAACTCCTGCATTATTCCAGGGCATTTCGCCAGTCCTTACTGTTATTTTTTTTTCCCATATAAAATCAAATACATCCGATCTTTCTCTTATATTGAGTAATTCCATCTTATGTCATAACAAAGTTTGAGAAACATAAAATTACAATTTCTTTATATCAGGGATAAGATCGGATGGCAAGAAACAAAAAAAGAGAAAATCGTTTGGAACATTTATGTTTCTAGTAATTTATAGATCATATTGAAATATGTTTTTGAGCGTTAAAGATAGGACAAATCTCTTTTATGAACTTTATTCTCTGAGCAGTAGAAGTGGTTTTAAATTAAAGTCCGGTCTTACCCCTTAATGGCCAATTTTTCATTATGCATATAAAAAAGTATGTCTAGTTTTCGCACACCTTTAAAGCAGAAACCGTTGAGTTTACACAAGCAAAAGATTCTTAGAGCTAAACTACGTTTAACGATTAACGGTTTGCTCCATGTTCCATAAATCATACGTATACGAATGTCGAGAAATTAAAGTTTTTGGCAGACTCTTCCAACTATTCGAAAATCCGTCCGGTATTACCCCAACGTACCTTAGTTCTTTGTTTAAAATGAGTGACTGGTCGAACGAAGAGAGTTTATCGTTTCTGGAATATTACCAGACCGAATCGTCTATCTGGAACCCCAAAGACGTTAATCATAAAAATAAAAAGAACATTGCAAATGCTTGGAGTCGTCTTGCCGAGTTAACGGGAAAGCCAGTAAAAGAATTAAAAGCCAGAAATTCCTTGTTTTTGTATTACTTTGCTTGTATTTCAAATAAAAGTATGTTAAACCAAACGCAATAGTCGACACAATACACTGACGCATTCACAAGCATGTAAACAACTTCCAAACGCCAAACGAGATTTGTGGACGCTTGGGGCTTGAAGACGTTTGCCGAGGCTTGGCAAGCGTGGAAAGGCACCATTAGATCTCTTTGGTTATCAAGTGGGGCGCGGGAACGAAGTATCATCGTTCCGAGCGCCCGATTGGTTGGCCAGTCGACTTCAGAGCGCGCGATTGGTTGGCCAGTCGACTTCTGAGCGCGCGATTGGTACGTCCCGTTGTACATGCGCAAACTATCCCCCACTACGCCAAAACCTTGCCGCGTCTCCACCAAAGTTTTGTTGCCAACACGTGTTGCCAACAAATGTTTCTGTCAACAAGCGTCTCTACCGAGGGAACAAATGTTAGCAACAAGCGTATTCCTTTGATGTTGCCGCCGAAAATGGAAACAAGTTTTGTTGGCAACAAAACTTTGGTGGAGACGCGGCTTGAGACTTTGAGGGTTCCGCGCTTAAAAAATATCCACATATTGTTGTATCAAGGGCTTCTTATTAAACAATGTTACTGTTAGACATTCTGTTTTGTGCAGCTACTCGTGAAGCCCGTGCACTCAGCGCAGATCTATGTGGAAGGGATCATGCTCTATTACTAAAATTAAACAAATTTTTACAGTTTAATTTTGCTTTTACCTATATTCAGATGAAAAAATGGCGCAAGCTAACTTCAGTCTCTGATCCCCTCCAAACTTTAGATCCGTAATTCGTATTCTTAACAGTTATTGCAAAGCAAATACTCAACAGCAATTGAATTCATTTAAATAAAAGCAAATATATAAAACATAACATTTTATATGGAAACTAGTATCTACTAGATAATATGTAGTATATAAAGCCGCGTCTCCACCAAAGTTTTGTTGCCAACACAACAGTTGCCGACACGTGTTGCCAACAAATGTTTCTGTTAACAAGCGTCTCCACCGAGAGAACAAATGTTGGCAACAAGCGTATTCCTTTGATGTTGCCGCCGAAAATGGAAACAAGTTTAGTTGGCAAATGTTGTGTTGACAACAAAACTTTGGTGGACAGGCGGCTTTATATCTGTCGTAAAGACGAAAGCAATTTTACTATGTCTGTAGTTATACATAGGTAATATGTATCTACATTGTACATACATGTATCCAGTGAAGTAATACGTATGATGCTATTACCACATCTATACAAATAAATAAAATTGAAGAGTCTGTTTGTAATGTCAAAATAACAGCTTTTTACTAAATGCATATGAAAGTAAATACGGTACTTATAACTAAAATACAATTTTTAAAATTTTTGTCTGTCAGTCTGTCTGTTTGTTCTGGCTAATCTCCGAAACGTCTGGACCTATTTTGACGGGACGGACTTTTGTTTTGAAAAAGAATTAGGATTCCGCGCAAAAAAATAAAAACCCTAACACGCGAGCGAAGTCGCGGGGAACAACTAGTAATAAAATAATATATATTACGTTTTAAACAGTGGTAGAGCCACGCGGCAGCTTTTGCTGTCGCACGGATGGGCCGGCTCGAACCGGGGTGGTACCTACCACGACCTCACAGAATACCAGCGTGAAGTAGAGGTTTACCTCTGCGTTTCGCTTGGTGAGTGCAGGTGGCCGGAGGCCCTTTTTACTGGAAATGAGGCATTCCATCTTAGTCCTCACGGGTAACAACGCATCTGCATTTTGATTTGTAATAGAGGATAGATGTAGATGTCTATGGGCCGCAGCAACCACTTACCATCAGGTGGACTGTGTGCTCGTTTGTCACCTTTATCCTATAAAAAAAATGTGTGTTACGTTCCTAGTTAAAGAAACCAACCGCACATTAGGTATGCATAAGGACACATACTTCGGTTCGGACGGGTTCGTATAATATTATGTAGGCAGGTAGGTATATGGATATAGCAGAAACATTCAGTGCATAACTTCTTGCATAAACACCTAAATATTTATTGTATTTAATATAACATTTAGGTCCTACCTACTTACATTTCATTTCAATAAACAATAATAAATTCTATGTTCATAATATGTTTCACCTACACCACCTACGATATATATTATAATGTTTATGTTAGTATATGATTTGTGTTACCTTGATTTATACAAAAAAATATTAATGAAATCCTCAGATTAATAATTATTGGTCTGACATGAAATCATGAAGCGACGCGCGCAGGCAAGGAAGCAGTCACTCGGTTGCGCGCACTTCGTTCGTGGCGTGGCGCGCACGGGTCAGTTGCGGTCGCATTGAGGAAGGTTGAATCGGGCGCACGCGCCGCCGGGCCTCATTACTGCGGTTTCGAACGTTCGCTGACCGTAGAGCGCGTGTCGACGCTTCGCCCCTCTTGCCGCGCCCAACACCCTCACTTCACCCAATCGCACCCTCCTTTCCTTTCATGTTTAAGTTCTTCGTGTTTCGAACCTGACACAATAAGGAATATTTCTGCTATAACCCTATATTAAATTTATATTACTATAATTTACGCATATTTTAAAAATATATTATGAACTAACCTGCCTTACTCATTTTGTTCTGTAGTAGGTACCTAGGCAATTTTAAAACCAAACACGTAGGTACATAATTTTCAAATATAAAAAAATATTGTTTGTTCGTATTTTATGCGCTGCCATACTGTTCATCAGATCGCGGTAATATCAAGTTATCACGGAGCAATTTGCTCCGTGCAAGTTATTGCTTGCACTTCTTACGCGAAGGTTATAAGCATAGTACCTACAAATAACTTACAGTAAGTGGCGCGGGTATCGTACCGACAAATTTATTTGAAAGTCATAAATATCATGAAATTTCAATGAATGTATTATCATTCTTAATTAAACCTCGGCAGCCTCCTTGCGTAGATTACGTAACTTTCTTCCCATTTCCACCAAAACTATGCTTGCCAAGTCTTCTCTTCCCTATTTTTGACTACGCAGACGTCAGCTATCTAGATCTCACCGAAGCTCAGTTCGATAAACTTGAGCGAATTCAGAATTTTTTGCATAAGGTTTATATTTATACTGCGCAAATATGACCATGTATCTCTTTTTCGTACTAGGCTCAAGTGGTTGCCAATACTACTTCATCGAAATGCTCACATACTTCATCTTCTCTACTTGAATCTACTGAAAAATCGTTTTGAGTTTCTTCGTGATTCCCATTCGCGTAACTTGAGATCAGCAGTGAGTTGAAGTTGAATTTGCCACTATACACTAGAAAATTTATGAACAAGTCTTTTACTGTACAGGCCGTTCACAAGTAAATGGAGGATGTTTTTTTTACCTGTCTATTCCATCGTGTAAGGTTTCGTTGGATAGGTCTTTCAAAAATACTTGGGGTACGGAACAACATCTTTTCGATTCAGGGGTCCGTTTGCGAAATATTTGGCTTTAAAGTGGTAATTTCTCATTAGTCATTTAGCCTCAATTAGTGAACTATGATCATCTTTGTACTTACTTGGCATGTGAATGTAAATAGTATAATTTTCAAAAAAAAAATTTTATATTTTTTGAATACCACTCCTTATAAATGTGATTTGACCACTTTCCTATTTGAGCCCATTTTTAGCGGTATAAATGTCAAACCGGGAACTCATTATGCTCAGTATCAAGAAAGCCTACATATTGTGACTGGCCACTACGAAACCCTAAGTACCTCTACATTGTGCATGGCACGACACGGACTTCGCCAGTTGTTTTACTTAACGCATCGCTCACTAGTGAACTTTTTGGCTAAGCATGATTTATGTTAGTAGTTCCTAGTTCATAACTTTATTCATTTATTTTATTACTTATATTCATCTCAGTTGAATATAAACCTGGATAGAACACGTTCATATAAACCACTAAGGGTTATCTTGAATGTGAGATTTTGACAGAAAGAAAAAAACAACCTTAAACTAGACTTAAAGTAGATATTTACAAATTAGACTATTTTTTATTTACTTATGGTACGTACAAGTAGGTATCATGAAAGGTGCATGAGTAGCACCTATTATTTCGACACTATTATAACTGACGTAGAAATAAGCTTTTAACTCATAATGTAAAAAAAAATCCATTAAGTATTTATTTTCCTGATAAATATCTTAGTGGGGCGGTTGCCCTAATACCAGCCCCGCCCCTAATACCAGCCTTTTCGCCTTTATACTTCAAAAATAAGGTTTCTAGTAATCTTAAATATAAACATTGTCTACTAAAAAATTCTTCGTTATTATGTAGTAGAAAGTGTATTTCAAATATCACTACTTTCGATTATAAAACTATTAGTGTTATATTTAAAATGAAAACACGTCGGCAACGAAAAACACTTAGTTTCCTAGTTTTTTGACGAGTTGTGTTCCCGATAAAATTAGGCTTATTTTGCATTATCTCATCCTTAGGCTTTTTGATTTGCACATAGATTACCTCCTTAGGGGGTAATCTATGGATTTGCATGACCAGCAAAAGTGTGTTATTATATTATTTATGCTACTTATAGCAATCAAGAGAACGTTTTTCAGAAACACTAATCAGTGTTTTATGTAAGTCCTATATCAATGATGTAAACGTTCACTGAGACAGGTTTGGGGCAGTTACACCTAAATTTAGTAACATAGTTATGAAATTGTGGCTCCATAATACATGATCACAATTTATGTTCTATAGTTGTACTACAACTTTGTCGTGTAACTCTTCAAAATTTTAACAGTGATTGTTGTGACATTTTCTATCACAAAAAAGTTACAAAAAGACACCACGGCGCTATTAATGGCCCTATTTGTACTCGAAATCGGGAATTTTCATAGTGCACTTTAATTTATTTTTCATTTACTCGATTTGATGTGTTTGTTCGTTGCTAAATTAAGTTAATAACAAAACCACAAAACAAAAAGACAAAGATTCCTTGGATATTACACAAACGGCGTTTACAACTTGTGACAGATACCAGATGTGGGAGAGAGATACCAACCGAGTGCCCGGGCCAGTCGGGATCAAATCCAATCTGAAAGAGAAGTTTTGGTTAAAAAAAAGTAAAAAGAAAAACCGCACTTATTAACCAAAACACAGAAAGGTAAGTAGGGTTAAATGTAATGGTAATAAGTAGTAGTTGTTACGAATCTGTATACCTCTCAAACTTATCTACAATAGGTATCTACAAAAAACTTAAAGGACATAAATCTATGCTGGGCTGGCATAGGGCACACAAAAGGGCGACTTTCGGTACAGGGTGGCTGGAATATAAACCCTAACGCCTTTTTTGTTAATCGTCGTTTTTATAAAATTGTTCGTTTATCTTTTTTTTTTAAGTTGAAATAGACACTTCAAGGCTGACAAGCCTTAGGAGGATCCACCTTATAAAGTTTTATATATTCTAAATCTTCATATTATACCTCATTTTATTTACAAATAATAGGTACCTCAGTTACCACAGTTACCACAGTTTATTATACCTCTATATACCTATTTAGTTCCTTAAACTGTGCCTATGTGTATCATTGAGGTAAGCACAATAATATAATGTCGCACTATTAGGAAATTTCTTCGGAATCATTCCGGCCTTTATAACATATACATTGTCCTAGACGGGCAGACACAAAACATAAGTATGCGAGGTTGTGAGGACGAGTGCGGGAGGAGGCAAGTCGACAAGTCACGCACGCGCACTGCTATCGAGAGTTCACACGCGCTTCGAAACCGCGGTGGGCCTCCACGTGGTGCCTCGCCGCCGCCGCGCTCGCTTTACCGCTGCCCTCTCCAACCTTCAACAGAGCTGCGGTAGTCTGTCGTATGTACGTTTTATAATATACGTAGCTATAAATATACATGCATTATTATTGTTCCTGACCCAACATCACTGGCTCTATGTACCTATTATAATACGCTTGAATGTCAATGATTTTTAATGGTATTGAAGCTTCTTGATTTTTATAAAATACTGACTTAAGAATAATGAAATATTCTAAAAGGACATAGGTAGACATTAGTAAATAAAATAAAAATTTTATCGTTCGTATCGTTTGGGACATTTATACTTATTTAAAAAAATAGGCTTTGGATTAAAAGTAATAAAAAAAGTATTGGATAATGAAATATTTATGTTTTAAAAGACTTGAAATATTTAAAAAAATATTTTAAAGGTCGCTTGCCACTGCTTAGCTAGTACTGACAAAATTTAATTACACATACCTACGTAGGAAAAAAAAAACATTTGTTTCTCTTAGATTTTTTATTTGTCTGAGTTGTTTTTGAATTGTTACCTACAAAATTCTAAAATGATGTAAAATGAATCCATAAAAAATGAACGAGTCATAATCATAAATAATATGATACGTAGTATATATATAAATAGGTACTATAGGTATATAGTCTTTTATTTCTAATAGTACCTTTATTGTAATATTTTGTAGATATACTGTTCCATTAAGTATTTTATATTGCACAAACATCTCGAGAGTAACACACAAATAAATTAATATCTATATATCTATAGCATCTAAGTATAGTTTGTATATAACAATCAAGAGGGCTGTGCGGTGTAGAGGAGAGCGGAGGACACGACATGCGCTGGCTCGGGTCGGGCGGGCTTGCTCGCGGCTCGCGAATTCCGCATTCGGCCGTGGACAGTCAGTGGAGTGCGCGTTAGTTCAGTTTGTCTAAATCAGATACGCAACCTACACCAACACTGACGCTATTGAACCGCGCTCAACTACTATCAATTATCACTACAAATATGATAGGTGAGTGTTCTAGATCCTTACTATATCTACTAAAGTTTATTTGAATTTAAAAAAAAATATTTGCAAGTCCAATTTCATTTTTGTGTGAATCAATGATCGCAAGAAAATATTTTTAAAACACTACATAAATCTTTAATTGATATTTAAATGTATATTATTTACGTCCTTACAAATAAAAATACGTTTTATATGGTTAAAAATATTTTTTTATCTTTTTGTTTAATCAATGTTTAAATTTAAAATGTTAACCATTTAATTTATCTTTAAATATAACTATTGACATACTTTACACATATTATATTAAGTGTATTATATCCCTATAATATCGCACGGGGCTAAAATGAAAGTGGGGACGAGTGCGGGGTGGGGTTCAGTGCGGATACGGGGTCGGCGGCCCAAACACGTGGAGGCGCGTACCGCGGCACTATCGCGTCGAAACCGCGGTACGGGCCTCCACGTGCTGTCAGAGGACATTCACTCTGCCTTGTTTCTCGCTCCTCTCTGCCCGTCCGCGCCCCTTCGTGGCCCTGTCTGTATGTGCATCCTGATTTTCCTGATCGTCGTCGCCGCATGCCGTCCACAACAGACATTGCACTGTGAACGGTCGTCGCGATTATACGTGTACAATAAATATATCCTTTAAGAAAATAATGAATTACACAACATCTCTTGACATTAAAATAAATCATTTGACAGGTGAGGAAGACCGCGTACACCAATGTGGAGAATGTGGTCTGACGCTATCTACTCGCAGCGCGTTAACAGCTCACGCCCGCTCGCACCGCGTAGCCGCTGATGCTCATCGTTGCGATGTCTGCCACAAGACTTTCGCAGTCCCGGCACGACTTGTTCGTCATTATCGGACACACACAGGCGAACGACCCTTTGAATGTGAATACTGTCATAAAATGTTCAGTGTTAAAGAGAATTTGCAAGTGCATCGCCGAATCCACACCAAGGAGCGTCCGTACCGATGCGGTGTTTGTGGCGCTGCCTTTGAACATTCGGGAAAACTACATCGCCATGCTCGAATTCACACCGGTGAAAGGCCACACGCGTGTCCTCATTGCCATAAAACATTTATTCAATCAGGGCAGTTGGTGATTCATTTGAGAACACACACCGGCGAGAAACCTTATCGCTGTCCAGCGCCTGGCTGCGGAAAAGGCTTTACATGTTCCAAGCAGCTCAAAGTGCATTCTCGTACTCATACCGGAGAACGACCCTACACTTGCGATATATGCCTTCGTGATTTTGGATATAACCACGTGCTGAAACTGCATCGTTTTCAACATTATGGTGAACGCTGTTATCGGTGCACAGTGTGTGATGGCACATTTAATACCAAAAAGCAAATGGAAGCTCATATTTACAAAGAACATGGCGCGGAAACACCTCGAGCGCCTTCATCGCTTTCCACAATGCCAAGTGGGAACGGAAATGCTATGTGTGATATTGTTGAAGCGGCTTTACAACAATTGCCGCCGACGCCTCCAAGTTCTCCACCATCACCGCCATGCCCCACTGTACCGACAACGTCTATAGCGTCATCGTCGCCTACTCCTATCCCAAACCCATCCCCTTCACCTCCTACGACCAGTCTACATTTTACTCTCGCTCCTTCCTCACTGCCGCCTAGAAAGCGAAAGTTTATTCCTTGTGTCGATTCACTACCCGCACCCGTTCCAATAGTACGCCATACTTCCGTGATACAGTTCGCTCCCCCCGCTGCCGACTCATCGTAGCAGATACGAATTTAATTAAATGTTCAATTTTAGTTGTAAGGGCTATATTTTAACCGAAGGCTGTATATTATGATGACTGCATTGATTTGTAGGGCTAGTTTAGTATGGTATAAATGTGATTGTTAATTTGCAAGTTATCTCAATAATGTGCTTGTGCTAGGCAAGTAAGAAAGATTGTATGTTATAAACCCGGTAAAAGACTAATTAGTTCTAATAGCATAATTTGTGCCGTCATTGTTGTTTAGAATAAGTTTTGTATTTATCATTTGTGTTATTCTTAAGTAAAATTAATATCTTAAAACTGGATCTTTTAATTATTATTTATTAATACTAATACATGCCGTTACCGTTATCGTTATAGCCTATTAAAGTTCACTGTTGAACATAGACCTACCCCATAGATTGTCTCGTATGGGTATATTTGCTATAGATGCCAAGCTTGGCAAGCGGGGTTGGCAACCGCAGTTTTTTATTTTTAGTCGTTATTACTGCTGCCCATCACCCGATTTGTTTCCCTCTGTCGCCTCTTACGATATCTACGGGATGATATGGGGTAGTGGATATTCTTTCACCTACACTGCACGGTAAATCAAATATACGCACCAGGTATGTAGGTATAACTCCCATAAAACATATTATGAATATATACACTAATTATATAATGATACTCGCTTTTACCCGCGACCTCGTCCTCGTTAAAGTTAAACCAAAAAATAACCTGCAGTCTTAGATTAATCTAATCCTGCAGCAGTTCTACAATAGCGGTCTTTGGGCAAGTAGTCCAACTTGTATTTTAGAGTTCGTTAAGTCCAACGATCGAAAAACCATTTCAAGATAAACTTTTTTTGCTATTATCCTAAATACTATGTGCAATATAGGAAAATGTTAAAAACATAAATTAATGACCTGTTAATTTCACATAAATAAGGTCTTATCACCCTATCCTATCCTTTAGCACTTCATAGTTTTTTGCAATTATGGCGTTATAGTGAAATGTTAAAAATCGATTAGGCAGATAAAGTGCGAGGACCTATTTGTGTAGAATTCAAACCAAAAAAAGAAATTATTCGAAAACTTTTTTATACTTATAAAAAAGCATTATATCAAAATTTATAAGACCAAAACCATTTCTTTTCTCTTTCTTTCTTTTCAATTTTACAAAAAACCCTGCTAGTTTTTTTAATCTTAGAAATTCATGTCTTAGTAGCATGCAAATAATGTGTGTAGATATAGTGTTTGTTTCCCACGGCATGTGAACGCAATAGGATATAAATACTGGTACCTACTACATCTAGCCGATCGATATAACCTATTAGAAAACACATTGTAGTACATAAATTATGTATACTTCATATGAATACACTTTAATTATGCACTTTGAAATCAAACTTTGATTCTACGTCTTACTTTTTTTTATAGGATAGGGTGACAAACGAGCACACAGTCCACCTGATGGTAAGTGGTTACTGTGACCCATAGACATCTACATCTATCCTCAATAAAGACTCAAGATGCAGATGCGTTGTCACCCGTGAGGACTAAGAAGGAATGCCTCTTTTCCAGTAAAAAGGGTCTCCGGTTCTCTACACTCACCATACGAAACTTGAACACAGCAGCGTTGAGCTGCTATTTTACGCTGGTTTTCTGTGAGAGCGTGGTCCTTCCCCGGTCGAGCCGACCCATTCGTGCTACAACTATACTACTAATATAGCTACAGCATGGCTCTACCACGTAAAAAAAATTGAAAAAATAATGTTAACATACTCACACACACGCAAGCACGCACACGCACACACACACACACACGCACACACACACACACGCACACGCACGCACACACACACACACACACACACACACACACACACACACACACACACACAACTAGCTTTTTATTGTTGCACTTTGATTTGAATTATCTATATTTTATGCAAAATCAATATTTTTTTTAATATTCTACTAAGCCAGTGCTTATCTACAATCCCACCTGATGGTAAGTGGTGATGCAGCCTAAGATGGTGAAGCGCACTGACTTAACAAAAGCCTATTCACTCTTGCCTTGAAGACACCCACACTGTAATCGGATGGAAAGACAGATGCTGGCAACTTATTCCACTCCTTTGCTGTACGCATGATCAACGACGTGGCGAACCGTTTGGTTCGAATGCGTGGTAAGTCAACAACGAAAGGGTGGAGACTGGCGGAACGTCTGGTTGTCCGATGGTGGAAGGGAGAGGCGGGGAATTAAATTATGTAATTCCTGCGCACACTCTCCGAAATGCATCCTGTAGAAAACCGAAAGGCTGGCTACTTTACGTCTGTGTTCGAGGCTGGTAAGATTTGTTTCAACCAAATTCGGGTCACCAATAAGCCTCTTAGTACGCCTTTCCATTGAGTCCAGAGCTGCTAGGTGGCATTTTGCAGCACCAGCCCATATATGGCAGCAATACTCCATGCACGACCGGACTGCGCTTTATATAAAGTTAGCAGCTGTCTAGCTGTTAATCAATTTGAGTACTATATTTTATTTCATGCAAGTAAACCCTTTGCTTCACTCAAAAACATTTAAATTTTGGCATAATTGCGGGCACGAAGACAGGTTTTAATGTGGTTCAATTATTCAGCCACCAATTGACCAAGAAATACATTCCCTTTATTTTCGTTTTCTTTGAATAATAGGTCGGGAAAAAAGATTCTTCTTATTTTGTTTGTATAAAATTGAAAAAAAATCTCTTTGGTTGTACTGTTTGTATCTGGCTGGTTTTAACAAATATACATATAGGATATTAAGAAAACGATTTAGACATTAAAGGACATTAAGAGAGAAAAATAAAAAGTAAAAAACACTTTCCCGCCATTTTTCAATTGTTTTTCTGTCCGCCATAATGAGTGAATCTAACGAAGAAATTCGATACATTCTGAAGTTTTATTACAAAAAAGGGAAAAAAATTTGTCTGAGAGTAGCACAAAGTTGGTTCAAGCGTTTTCAGTCCGGGAATTTTGATGTCAAAGATGCAGCTCGCTCTGCTCGCCTTCATATGGATAAAGTCGATGCCATTTATAAAAAAAATGGTGCAAGATCGGCATATTAGTATACGACATAGCCGAGGAATTGAGGATTCACTACAAAATAGTTTTAGACCCATTTGAAAAAATCTGGCTATACAAAAAAGTTCGATATTTGGGTACCACACGAGCTCACTGAAAGAAACCAAACGAATCGTGTACTCATTTGCGAATCTTTATTGATACGTAATGAAACCGAACCCTTTTTGAAAAGATTGATCTCTCTGATGAAAAATGGATCACAGAACGTGCGAAACAGGTCATTGTCAAAAGGTAGTCAAGCTCTACATCTACAAACTGTAGCGAAACCCAGATTAACGCGCAATAAGGTGATGCTGTGTATGGTGGGATTGAAAGGGCAAAACTATCGATTCGGATCTCTAATGCCAACAACTAATGAGACTCAAGCAAGAAATTGAGAATAAACGACCGGTATTGATCGACAGAAAAGGAGTGGTCTTTCATCATGATACCGCCATACTATACACATATTTGACCACTTAGCAAAAATTGAGAGAACTTCGTGGGGAAGTGTTAAGCATCCACCACATAGTCCTGACCTTACACTCCCAAATTTCTACAGCAACGGGACTATGTCACTACTTACAAGATGGCAACATGTTATCGAACAAAAAGGCACATATATATTATAATTAAATGTAATTAAACTTTGAAAAAAAAATGTCTTGACTTTGTATATAAAATACAAAAAACCATATTCTCAGTGATGTAGTATGGCACGTAGTCACGTTTATCATGTTGTTTGTAAGATATTAGCAATAAGCATTTAATCACGCACTGTTGTTGTTTATACAGGGTTATTTTGCAGCAACCGACAAAATTTGCAGAGAAGTTTCAGAATAATATAGGCAAATGATGAAGTAAAGTTAATTAAAAAAAAATTCAAATATTCTGTCCTTTTTATCTTTTAAAATCAAAATGCGTGATAATGTATTATTTTACTACGCACGGCATTCGTAAGGGTCGCTCAATCGGCAAAAACGTTGTTAATTGAAACGCACATGTAGTTTTGCCCATAAATCACATTCAATTGGGGATAATTTCATATAAAATAGAAGCCTTATTTACCTGTATTTTTAAAAACAGCAATAAAGGTATATCATTATTTATATAATAGCCCGAATGCGTGGCCTCTTTAAACGATGGCGACACCGAGTGGCCGAGCCTACGAGTGTTTTGGACAGAGTAAAAGTGGAAAATCTACAAGAAAAAGAAAAGAAAGACGAGTATGTAGAGAAACTGAAAGAAAGTTTTAAAGGGATAGAAGAGATAGGAGTGATTGAAGATTTGTGGGAGACATTTAAGGAAGGGGTCGTAAATGTTGCTATTGAGGTATGCGGGGTAACTAAAAGAAGGAAAGGAAGAAAGAATGATAACGTGTGGATGGATAAAGATGTACAAAAGGTTGTGCAAGAAAAGAAGAAAGCGTGGTTGGATTGGTTAGCAACAAAAGCTAACCAAAAAGTTCTAAAGGCAACGGATGACGAGATAAAGGAAGCAAGAACGAAGTATAAAAGATTGGAAACAGCAGCGAAAGAAATTGTGTCTAGAAAGAAAGAAGAACGAAAGGATGATTTCGATAGGAGACTCACTGAAGATTTCCAGTCAAACATTAAGTTTTTCTGGAAAACCATCAAAGCAGCCAGAGGAAAAACTTCTACCTCGGAGCTGAGTACAATCAGGAGTCAAGATGGGAGCATTATAAAAGGAGAAGAATGTGTGTTAAAGAGATGGAAAGAGTATTTTGAAAGTTTGTTTGAAAGAGAGGAAGTGCAGGTACAGCATCTGCCACCTTCCACGGAAACTAATATAAATGTTGATGAAAATAAGATAAGCATGGATGAAATAGTGAAAGCGTTGAAAAGTATGAGATTAGGTAAGGCTGTAGGGTATGACAGGATTACCGTCGAAATGCTGAGGGCTGGACAGGGCCTGGTGACTAGTCAGCTGTACCGCCTTTTCAATCTGTGCTGGCGAAATGGGCAAGTACCGGGAGACTGGTGCAAAGCCGTAATCGTGCCATTGTATAAGGGAAAAGGGTCACGGCAGGACTGCATAAATTACCGCGGTATAAGCCTTCTCAGCGTCGTCGGTAAATTGTATGCGAAAGTGTTGATTGAAAGGATTGTGAATGAAACAGACAAGAAAGTATGGGATGCACAAGCGGGATTTAGAAAGGGAATGGGATGTACGGATCAGGTCTTTTCCTT